CTCATTACACAAACCCTTGAACATTTACGTCTTCGCAAACAAGCCGTGCGCCGTGATGCTGTGAACCTTGCCCTTTTATAGCCTGCGTAGGGAGCAGGGTGACTCCATGTGACAATACAGGAAAACAAGTAATATATATAAAAGACCACAGCAGTGAGTTGGTTGTGGGGAGTGGGTTTAGAAAGGATGGGAATCCCTCGTTATACTTTACATGCTGTCATCTGACAGTACACTAAAGCTTTCACCAGAAATAAAAAGACTGGAAAAAAAAAATGAAATGCCACTCTAACAAGTCTCCCGGGACCCCCGTTGCCTGGCTTTCTGAAGAAGGAACAGCTTTTCAGATCAAAAAATGCTTTAAAAGACTTTGACAGAAAAAGCTTGCTGTGCTTCACTTGCAGCTCACAGTCTGTCCATGTGGTCCACAGTAACTTCATTGTATATTGGAAGGGTTATGCACAGCATTTATTCCTTGATCTGGGATTGAAACCATTTAACACATAGGAGACGGGGCGGTACCTGTGACAGAGAGTGGGATTCTCCACAGTGTTTGCACAGCTTTAATTTCTTCTAAAATATTTGTTTAGCCTCTGTAGCTCAGTTTGGGAGCCTGATATGTTTCTCAATAGCGCATGACCTCACACTCACATGCTTACATGCCATATTTATAGAAAGCAATAGGTTGTGTCTCAGCAAGATAAAGATAATTGTATGTCTTATTAAGGTTATGGTTTATCCAGCCTGGAATAGGAGCGTATGTCTTCTTAAGGATAGAGTCTACATTTGAGTCTAATCGTATTGCTGCTCCTCTTGAGTGTGTGTCCATGTATGCAATTCAAGACAGCAGGCATTTTCTCACCTCTAATCACATGAGATTTTTATCACTTGAGGAAAAAAATTCTCTTTTTGTGCCATTAGCAGAACTCGTGTGACCTGCTGGGGAAAAACATCTTTTCCTCTCTTATTAACGTTGGATGCTTGTTAACTGGTGTAGGCTATCATCCTGCTGCCAGTACTGGCATTGCCTCCCCTTTTTAAGTCTGTTAAGGTCAACAGCAATTTGGATAAAGGCTAGGTATTTTAATCTGATGAATCTCTCTGCCCTCAGGTTACTTTGAGGTTTCGGTTTTTCATGAATGGCTTTGGATAAAATCTTAAGCTCTGTACCTGTGAAAGGCCTCTAATATCTGAGGCCTGCATTTTCCGCTTTTACAGCTCCGTAAAACTGACAAACTGACCTGACAGCTTTGCTGCTTTCTGCATCAATTGCCCGAGTGTGCAAAAAGGTGTTAAATGTGTAAAAATTGCCAAATGCTATTTACTCCACAGCCAGCCCGTTTCATCCTCACTCTGTGATCCATTGTGTACCAGCTGCAAAACAGGCCGCGCCATTGTAAGCAATCAACTTACAGCACATTTTTAAAATTGACGTATCTCTACATAATTTTCTCAGTGAGTTTTTGGTTTAAAAATAAGGGAGCTGAAAGATTTGTGCAAAATATTCCACAGCACATGTTGACGTCTTTATTTGACTACCAAAGCTGAAAAATATTCTGTTTACTTGAAAAATTACAACATAATAACATAATAACATTTAATTAATTGATGCTATTCAACTTTCAAAGACCAGAATGGAAATCTGGAACGAATGTTGAGCATTAGTCTGCACAAACATTACCTCACCGTGAACCCACTCATCGGCAGATGTGGCTACTCGTGTAAACTCTTGACCAAAAAACAGAAACATAGCTTGTTTCTGACCTCTAGCACTTTTTAAATCTGACCTGGTGAACGTTGTCTGCATATTTCTGATAAATAATTTTTGGCTCGTAGGCAGTGCCCCACCACCAGTGTTGGGAAGGTTACTTTTAAAATGTATTCCATTACAGAATACAGAATACATGCCCCAAAATGTATTCTGTAACCTATTCCGTTACGTTACTCAATGACAGTAACGTATTCTGAATACTTTGGATTACTTAATATATTGTGGCGAGTTCAGACAAGGAGGAGACGGAGGTATCGTTTGGTCTTGCTTCCCGTGAGCTAGCCAGGGAGCACAGGCGTTTATTACATTTGCAGAAGAACACACTGCCACTAGCTAACTGCTCAGCGCGGCAACCACAACACACATAGGGCGCCCTCTGACCCCGGAAGGACACACCGTCGCAGTGAGAGGGCGTCACCCGTCACCATGGCAACATACACAAAACATAACTGTACAAGCAGAACCCCGAACAGCCCTGACCCGCTACAATATTATCATGCTTTTTACAACAACGTGAATGTACTATTGCTGTGTGATTTATTACTATTACTGAAGGTCCGCGACTCCGAACTGTAGTAAAGGGACCTCTGACTAATGCTGGGCTCACACGGTGCGATTTTTGGCCCATTTTGAGCCGATTTTTGAGTCGTGCGATCGTTTTGGCGATCGGCCCGATTTTGGCCTTCATCGTGCGTCGTGCATCGTGTAGTATACGTGGGGTAACGAGAAGCGATTGACACCTCACGACCAGCTCCCGATCACCAATCGCTTGGTCGTGAGGGTGTCACCGCAGTTTGCCACACTGCGCACGCGCAAACACAAATGTCAGCGAAAAAGACGGCGTAGCACGGCAGTGCAGCGTGTGATCTGGACACAAGCGATGGAGGCACAACCTGTAGAACCATCCGAGCCCTTTCGATGTGGCCTCACAAAATTATCACGACCACAACAACCGTGAAAATAGTTGGATCGACACTGCTGCTCAATCACAGCTGCCTGACCAATGTTTTTCATTAGCAATTTAGCAAAGTTGATGGTGGTGGTGTGTCTGTGTGAGTGAAAGACGGAGAGGGAGAGCGAGCGAGCATCAGAGCATCGGGCCGTATAGTGTGAGACCCTGCATCGTGACCTATGAACTTCTAACCCCTGCGAGTCAATCAGTTTGAGCAGGAGCTGAATCGCGCGACTGAAAAAATCGCACAGTGTAAGCCCAGCATAATACGGCGGGGTCCCTGTCGGCTGGTAGCCGAAAAATAGCTCTACTTTGTTGTGTGGGTCAACTTTTCATGCGACAGACAGAGAGAGGCGTTGAAAGGCTGCTCCAACGGAACTTGTTGTTTTCGGAGGAAAACACGAACACAGTGTACAGTCGAGTCTTAATAGCTTACTTACAACTGGGCTCGTCAGGCACTCTTCTTGGCTGCAGTGGTTATTATTATATTTACATGCTTCCAGCTCCCGTTTTTGCTCGATGACTGCTCGTACCTTTCCACTCTCCTTTTTCTCCCTCCTAGCGCTCACAGACCCATAACGTGTATGGCAGTCCATTCTCCCAGCAGCACGGACTACACTGCCCATGATGCTACATTCTTTAGAGCTATGCTTGTAGCATTCTGCCTGTTAGCTTAGCACAACAACAACAACAACGAAAAGGCGCTCTCTCACCCAGGAAACACACAGTCGCAGAGAGAGAGAGCGTCGCCCTGTAACCATGGCAACCGTAACGCTGCCGCCTGGAACAAAAGAACGTAGCTGTCAAACAAACCCAAACAGTCCTGACCCGCGACAAAATGAAACAGGAAAGTACCCCAGTGTATTCCATTTATTTCAACAAAGTAACTGTATTCTGAATACCACCTTTTTAAACGGTAACTGTAACGGAATACAGTTACTCATATTTTGTATTCTAAATACGTAACGGCGGTACATGTATTCCGTTACTCCCCAACACTGCCCACCACTAGCACCATTTCTCTTCTGACTGTGTGCTCATGTGAAAGAAACTAAACTTTCCAGTCGCCCTCCAAATGGAGCTGTATCTGCGCCATACTTCGGAGTGTTACCAAAACAGCCCGAGAAAAAAGTCGGAGGTTGGTGATGCAACATTAGACTGGCTTTGATCCACCAATAAACTGAATTCTTTTTATGACAGGAACACTGATGGGCCTTCTACACCCTTGTTGTTGCTCTCTTTCCTTAGTTTCTCCTTCTCTGTCAGCCTCTGTCAGGTCCTCAATCATTTAGGAGCCGAGCTTGTAATATTTTCCAACTAGCTCGTGCAGAAGAAGACTCTTAAGTTTCTCGGCACATACACGCAGCTAAAGCAATCTATGATCCTGGTACATTTTTGAATGAAGTTTACATTCAGAAAAATGGGATCTTATAGGTTCGGGGAGCAAATAATGGGTGTTTTTATGCGAAATTTGCAAATGGCTCGTATATAAATGATCAGCAACATCAACTTAAACGAATGCACAGAGAGATACTATTTCTGTGCACATAATGAGGCTATTAAAGCAATAAATAAAAAATAAAAAAACAGAAACAAGTGTGCCTAAGCGAAATGTACTGCCACCCCATTAATCTTACTTATCATCAGTAGAGGGATGACTACAGCGAAGCTTCGAATGGTGATAATGTGCAAGAGGAATTCACGAACCCCCACAATGCATCACTTACAAGCAAAGTGCTCCACAGCAGCTCTGCAATCACAAAACTTTACACTGTGCTGAAAGAGCAGATTCTGTGCAATTCATTAAATATTTGCTCTACTTAGAGCACCGTACTTTTAATGCATGATATGTGCAGTTTTTCCTTACTGCAACGCATAGCTTATAGAGTTGCATAACTAAGACATCTAGTTTAAGATGTTCTTTTAATCTCTCAAAAAAAAGTCAGTTTTATTAGAATCAACTAAAAAAATGACAACAATTTCAGCTCAGGGAAGTATACATATTCATGATTATCGCTATAATTTACCATGACTTATAGACAAGAAAAAGCAAGCATGGAACAACTTTTGGCCCCAGTGTTGTCAGAGTGCCAGTTTCAATTAAACCGAATGCCCAAGCGGTCCTGTTATGTAAGCCTTAGGACAGATTTCGGGAAAGGCATCATGGACGCTCACTGCCAGACAAGCTGTCCACACAGTTGGATGGAACTTCCAGAAATCCAAATCAAATATCTTAATCTTTTCTCTCTCCCCCCCC